GAAAGGTGAGGAGTATAAAATATAAGCTACAAAAGTAATGCCATGGCACACAAATAGATAAAAATACCAAAATACAAGGGGAGATACAAAATGCACACATACAAATTTTAAAACACAATTCCTTATCTTAAAGTGAAAGAAAGAGGAAGGAAGAAAAGGTAGAAGAGGAAAAACATATTCAAAGAGGGGAGAGCAAATTTAGGCAAGAGGAAAAGGGAGCTTTCTGCTACAACCCTGCCACCAAAGCTGGGACTTGAACTCAGATCTCCTGTATGGTAGGCAGAAACACAGCCACCAGTGCTGGTACTGCTTCAAGCTGCTAGGGCTCTTGACCTTCCTGGAGCCCTGGCCTCATGTCAAGCTGCCTGGTCTCTGATTGGAGGAGCTGGAAGCTGAGCTGGGAACCCCTCAGGTCGCTGCTCAGATCTTGCAGAAGCGGGAAGCCTCTACAGCCGGCCACAGCCTCTCTCAGGGGATCCTGGAGCCCAGCAGGAAGCCTCTCCTGCCGGCCACATGCCGTGCTGCTGAGAGTCCAACAGCTGCCTGCAGGTCCTGCTCCTTCAGGCTCTTCTGGAGCAACTGCTTCCACCCCGCTGGCTCAGCTCTTGCCAGCTCTTTGAAGCTCCTTCTTCATGGTCCCTCGCTGGTCTCTTCCCTGAGTCAGCCGGGCTGCCCCTTTTATCCCCCTCCAGGTGACCCAAGGGGCCAATCAGGGGACATGAGGGGTGAGTCTCTGGGGCCTGATTGGTGAGGAAAGGGAATCCCAAGTCCTCCAATCATCTTTTGCCCTTTCAAAACCCCTGGGGTAGGTCACTGCCAGCTAGCCCGTCAGGAATATAAAGGGGTATGTGAGCTGAAACTTTGAGGCAGAAGGGGTACACTTGTTAAAAAAGGTCAAAAACCCTTGAGTTAATCTATAAGGTGCAGCTCTATGCTGTTTTTTGATTGGCTGCAGGTGAACAGCCAACTCCCTCTCTCTAAGGTCTGTCTGTGTATTAAAACAGTGGAGAGAGAGCCTGGACTGCTCAGCAGGTTAGCTTCTAGAGCTACCAGCACAGGGCACCTGTCAGCCTTCTCTTGCGGAGACTGAAGAGGTCCAGGTCCCCCAGTCTTTCCTCATAGGGCTTGGCTTGCAATCCCTTAACCATATGAATGGCCCTCCTCTGGACCTCTTGAGGTTATCCACATCCTTCTTGAAGTGTGGCGCCCAAAACTGGATGCAGTACTCTAACTGTAGTCTGACCAATGCCACATAGAGGGGAATCTTGGACCTCCTTGGATCTATTTGTCATGCATCTGCTGATTCATGATAAAGTGAGGTTAGCTTTGCTGCTGATTTCATCACACTGACGACTCACGTTCATCATGGAGTCCGCTATGACTCCGAGATCTCTTTCCACTTCTGTGCTGCTGAGAGGGTCACTTCCCAGTCAGTAGATGTGCTGGATATTTTTGCACCCTAGGTGCAGCACTCTGCATTTGTCTTTGCTGTACTGCATCCTATTGTGTATTGCCCACTTTTCTAGCCTGTCCAGGTCTGCCTGCAATCGTTCCCTACCCTCTGGGGTGTGCACTTCCCCCCACAGTTTAGTATTGTCCACAAACCTGGACAGAGTACACTTCACACCCACATCCAAGTCACTGATGAAGACATTGAAGAGTACAGGTCCAAGGACCGCACCCTGCGGGACCCCACTACCCACATCCTTCCAGGTCGATACCGACCCATCTACTACCACTCTCGGGGTGCGACCGCTAAGCCAATTTGCCACCCACCGGAGTGTGTAAACATCTATGTCACAGCCTCTGAATTTATTTATGAGAATAGGATGAGATACCTTATTGAAGGCCTTGCTAAAATCCAAGAAAACAACATCCACCTTTATTCCTGCATCTACGTGTTTTGTGACCCTGTCATAAAATGAAACCAGATTGCTCAGGCATCATCTACCTGCTGCAAATCCATGCTGGTTTCCCTGCTGCATTATTTTTCCCACTAGACTCCCACAAATATGATCCTTCATCATCTTTTCAAATTCTTTTCCAAGGATGGAGGTGAGACTGACTAGCCTATAATTACTAGAATCCTCCTTCCTCCCCTTCTTGAAAATAGGGACCACATTGGCCCTTTTCCAGTCCTCTGGGACCTGCCCCGAGTGCCACGGGCACTTCAACAGCCGTGACATTGGTTCTGCTATGACACCAGCCAGTTCCTTCAGTCCCCTCGGATGCAGCTCATCTGGGCCTGCTGACTTGACATCCGGTCCACCCAAGTGACTCTGCACCAAGTCAGCATCAGCAGTTGGTGGGCTGGTGTCCCTCTGATGCCTAACTAAGAACCCATGAGGAGACTTATCTTGAGCCCTGTTCAGGAACACCAAGGCAAAAAACTCATTGCATAGTTCAGCCTTGTCCCCCTGTCTGTCACTAATTGCTCCTTCTTGTTCAATTGGCTGCCCTGCACCTTCCTTTTGCTCCTTCTTGTTCAAAAGACTGCCCTGCACCTTCCTTTTACGCCCTACATACCTAAAAAGAGACTTTTTTATTGTCTTTAATTTGTGTTGCCAGCCTCAGCTCTGTAGTTGCTTTGGCCTTTCTAACTGCCTCCCTGCAAGTGCGGGCCAAGGAAGTACACTCCTCCTTGGTAGCTTCCTCCTGCTTCCACCACCTATATGCCTTCTTTTTTGCTCTTAGGCTCCCCTGGATTTCCCTGTTTAGCCAAGGAAGCTTTTTGGTTCCTTTCCCCCTTTTCCGTCGCACTGGGATAGTCTCCCTCTGTGCCCGAAGGATCGCTTCCTTTAGGAACGACCACCCTTCCTGGACTCCCATGTTGCCAATACTCCTATCCTGCAGTGCATCATTGACTAGACTCCCAAGCACACTGAAGTTAGCTTTCCTAAAGTCAAGCACATCCTACGCCATATGGTTAGTCAACTACTTTTGTGAAACAGAGAAATAACATTCTAAAAATGGTTGTGAGTTTTGATAACTCTCAATAAGACAGTGCAAATGTGAGTGCTAGCTAGGACTGAATAGTTCTTCCTACTCTTGGCTTTGATCCTGAACCCCTCAAGGCAGTCTAAATAGTAACCAAGTACCATAATTTCTCACATGCAACATGCCCCAGAATCAGGATACATGCCTTGTTGCTGAAAGGCAGAATGAGAGGAAAAGGATCTTTGCTTGTAGTAACTGAGTAGCAGCAGTGAGGGAGCCCGGCCTGCTCAGGTTTGGACCTTGTGATCCGAGTGCAACATTATTTTCAGTACTCCTGCCAGGACCTTAGATGTCGGCAAGTGCTGTTCTCATATTGCTGGCGTAGAACGCATAACCCAGCAGCTGGTTTTCTTCAGAAAAGGTATGTGCAGTATGCAAGAAAATACAGTAAACATAAACCAGCAAAATAGGAATCAAACCAATGTGTTGACCATTGGTAACGCACAGGGGGTGCACCCCTGAGATGCACGTGCACCCCCTGAGATCATCCGTGCAACCCCTGGATCCCCTAGCACTTCCGGTTTTGCTGCTGGCTTGGCGATCGGCTGCTGGGGGACCCCCCCGTCAGCGATCTGGTGCCCCCCCAGACTCGGGAGGCACCAGTTGCCCATGGTGACTCTAACCAAAGGACAGGCTTGAAATGCAGCTCTGCTCAGCAGGCAGCAAGCCAACTCTGAGCATCTTGCTGTTGGAGTCTGAAGCTACCGCAAGTCACGGCAGACAGCCGGTGGAAGAAGGCTTCTGAGGCTGCTGGATATGCAGGTCCAGGTGGCTAAATGGGAGGAAGGGAAAAGAGGCTGGCAGAGCCAAAGAGAGAAGGCCAGGGCCAGGGCAGGGTGGTATGTGTGTGAGTGTGCATGTGTGCACGTGTCCTGTCTCTTGTATAACCAAAGGGCAAGGTGCGCAGTCTGCCAGCCTGTGCTACCCAATGAGACTATGATGCAGTAAAAGAGTAGACTTCCATAGACACAAGGGAATTCTTGGCTTCATGGAATACCCTATTTCCTTGCACAATACGCATAGTTTTCTCCCTCAAAATGGGGGTGTATCTCTTCAGTGAGGAAGCTGGTTTCCTTTCCCTTTTGCTTTTGCTGAAGTAAAAGTAAGGGGACGTAGGAGCAAGTGGATGCTGTGACTCATGGCAGCCAGGATGGTTCCCACATCTCTATGGCCCTGAAAGCAGATGGGTGGAGCCCAGTGTTAACCCTCACACAGCCTGGGCACTTTGAGCTTGCTCAGAGCAAGCGAGCTGCTGCATGCAGTCTGTAGTATCTTGACTGGGCTTGTGGTATGGAAACAACACTTTCTTGCTTCCAGACACATATATAAAGAATGATTTTCAGTAAAGGAGTCAGAGTTATGGTCTCACTACCACAGGGGCATACAGTTATTTTGGGTGGAGGGCTGCTTACTGAGTTTTGGCAAGCCATCAGGGGCTGCATGACAGGCAGTCAGGGGCAGATAAATATTCATTTTCTAAATTTTTTAGGTACCCTGTGGGAAGGCCAGAATGGCCTGGTGGGCCGCGTCCAGACCGCAGGCTGCATTTTGCCCACCCCGCAGTAGTCCCTTCGCAGATGTCTGGGGCCATCCTGCCACGCCAGGTAGTTCCTGCTGCCTCTCCCACACTGTGTCCTGGGGTGCTACCCCTCCAGGACACTCTGTGTTTCCAGGAGGATTAACTCTATGTCCCACATTCAGCCATGACTCTCTGAAAGTCTTTTTTTGTACAGTGTGTTTTCGAAAAACAAAGTACAAGTCTTGCGGGGGGCGGGCTGGTATGCAAAAATCAGCGGTATTTGTTCATTTTTTATAGTGCTGAAAAAAACGGTGGTCTGGTAACCAGTCACTTGCCTTTATTAGATCTGTTAATTGCCTGGCTTGCCAACACAACTCTGCTTTCTGTGCAGGGACTGGGATGGTCTGCGGGACAGGCTGCAGGCTCTGCAGTGCCACTTTACCTGGGACCTGGATGCCCCTGGACAGCTCGAACCTGAGCACATCCTGTTGCGGCTGGCCGTGGAGATCCAGCACACGCCCCACAACAACCAGGCCACGCTCCTGGCCCTGCGGGCGTTCCTCTGCCAGAGGCTGGGCCACTACCCAGATGCCCTGCAGAGCCTCCGGGATGCTGAAGAGCAGCTGAGACAGGATTTCCCAGACGGGTCCCCTGCGCGGGCCCTGCTGATCTATGGCAACTATGCCTGGGTGCACTACCACATGGGCTCCCTCGATGAGGCCACGTGCTACCTGGAGCGCACGCAGGCGGCCCCCCTAGCCCCTCTGAGCACAGCTCTGACTGCCGAGATCTCCGCCCAGAAAGGCTGGTCTCTCCTGGCTGTTGGATTTCGCCATGGGGAGCAGGCCAGGCAGTGCTTCAAAGAGGCCCTAGCGCAGGACCCAGGCAGCAAGGAGCTCCGCGCTGGGCTGGCCTTGGCCATCTATGCTGCTTGGATCCACTGCCGAGATCCTGAGCTGAAGATGGAAGCGACAAGACAGATGGAAGAGGTTGTGCAGCAGCAGCCAGAGAACCACAGGGCCAAGGTGCATTTGTCCAGGCTGGTTCAAGAGCAGGATCAGCAGAGGGCAGAGGCGCTGATTGCAGAGGCTGTGGAGAGCAGCTCTGACCCTGAAGTCATTCGTCTGGCATCCTTCTACTTCCTGAAAAAAAATGCAGAGCGGTCCACAGAGCTGCTGAAAGAAGCAATTTCTCTGGACCCTGATTACCACCTCCTCTACCACACCTTGGCCAGGTCTTACCGGGAGCAATGGAAGACAGCAGAGGGGCAGAGGAAGGAGGAGCTGCTGCAGGCTGCGATCGAGGCCCTGGAGAAAGAAGTCACTCTCTATTCAGGTGGTGTGCTCTCCAGGCTGCAGCTGGCCGAGCTGTATGGAGAGAGAGATCCGTGGCGGGAGGAGCAGATGTACCTGAAGCTGGAGCAGGAGGCACCCGGGTTTAGTCTGCAGTGCCGCCAGGCCCTGTGCCTATACTTCGGGAGGTTCCTCATTTACAAGAGGAGGGACCTGGAGGAAGCAGCCAAAAAGCTGCAGGCTGGCTACACCATCCCCATCGAGACGCAGGAGAGGCGGGAATGCCGCTGGCGCCTGGAGATAATAGTTCACAAGCTCCAACGGTTTAACCAGCATGAGAAGGCAGTGGCCATCACCCACTTCCTGCAGGAGGCTGACGGTGGGAAGCTGGCTGAGGGGGTCGGCGCTGCGGGGCAGGGGCACGAGTGATGGGAGACACTGGTCCTGCCAGCATTTGCAACAGGTCTGTGCTGTGCCCTGCCCCTCATGGCCCAGGGCCTGCAGCTCTTGGTCTCCAGCTGTTGCTCTTGGCCAGGACCACCCTGCTCATGAGCTGACTGTCCTGGACCCCAGGGAGCCAGGCCGAGACAGTGCCTCCAGGTCTGGGGAAGGGTCAGCTCAGCACCGCTCTGCCCCTCCCAGGTCCCTCCTCTCGCTGCCTATCCCAGTGCTGACTCCTGCTCCAGGAATTGCTCCCACCCAGTGCTTTTCTGCCACCCAAACGCCCTTCATGCTAGCCTCCATCCAAGCCTCCATAGGACTTGGCTGGGCAGCTTCGTCTTGGCTCAAGGATTGCTAGAAAACCCCTTCCTCCACTTCCCCCTCTTTATGCCCTGACAGCAGAGCCCCTGTCGACTCTCTGCTGGCACTTCCCAGGGCTGTGGCATCACGTGAGCTCATGGTCCGAAGAGAAGTGACCCCGGGTGACGCTGGGTGTACAGCCCTGCTGACACTAGCCCTTGAGCAGCCCAGTGGGTCACTGTGTCCCTAAAGCTTGGGAACATCAGCTCGGAGGACTGACACATGCAGTCACCACCACATTGCAGAGGCACTGTGGACACATGGGTTGTGCTCATGGGAGTGAAACCCCAGCAGTCTGGAGCTGTAGCTTAGAGCCAGGGCTGGTGGTGTTTTCCAGCTCTTTATCGCAGGACAAGAGGGCTGGGGGGCAGGAAAGGGGCACCTCTAGTCCCTCACCCTGCTCAGGGCAGGGTCACTCTGTCTAAGCCACCCCAGACAGAGGTTTGTCCAGCCTATAGCTGAAGGCTTCCAGCAGGGAAGTCCCAGACCCTCCACTGAGCTGTACCTAGGCCGGACCTTAGGGTCAGAGTGTTCCTCCCGATGTCTAACCTTCTCCTCTTTGGTGGCCATTCAAGGCTACCACTTCTTGTGCCCCACCAGCAGAGAGGGCAGCTCATCCACATGCTCTCAGCAGCCCTTTTTGGACTGTACACACATCTAAACCGCTGCCTGTCTTTTTTCCACCACAGGAAATGCTCTCCATCCCTCCGGTTTCAGACTTTCTAGACCTCCAGCAACCTTTTCTGCCGTCTGCTGGACGCTCTCCAATTCCTCCATATCCTCTTTGAATCGCTGTGTCTGGGACCAGGCACAGTCCTCCCCAGCGTGGAGCAGGTGGGAGTCATGTCTGGGGACCTGCCGGACACAATCGCAGTAACACGCCCTGGGATGCTCTGCATTTTCTTGCACAAATACTGCCCTGCTGACACATGCTGGACTGCATTTCACTCTCATTGCCCTGGACTTTTTGCCCAGTTGGTCACACCCCATTCCTCTGTCTACACCTCATGCTCTATCCTGAGTGCAACGTTGGGCTTGTGTCCTTTCTAATTGCCTCCCCTTTTTTCAGTCCTTGACCCCAATCGATCCAGGCGATTCTGAATCTTAGTGCTATCACATAAAGTGTCTGCTGACCCGCTCCACTTGATGCCATCAGCCCACTGAATAAAAGCAGTGCAGGTCCATCTCCCAGGTGTTAATGCACTCCTGGAGGTGGAACAGGTCACGGAGCCGGGTGCTGGGGTTGTGCTCTGAGTTTAGGGGTGGAATGGAGGATGTCTGCGGAAGAGGCTGGGCCACAGAGGGGCAAATAGCAATGACAGTACATGCCTGCCTGCTCTGGCATCACCCATGTAGTGCGCAGGTTTGTTATTACCCTGAAATAGAATAGTTTTCTGATAGCATACTGTTAGGTTTACAATAATTTAGATTATTAAAAAGTATTAGCTTTACAGCTGAATACAAGGCATGACCTGTGGCCTAGCAATGCCGCTGACCACAAGGCAGAATGATAGCTAAGCCTTTGCTTGTGTCAAGTAATCATTTTAACTGTATTAAGCATTTTCTGAGTTAAAAAGTGGATCTGTGTCTGTGCGCTGAAAAATCAGCTACAGCAAGAAGTAAGATAAGAGAGGGAAGCCATTGTTCTGGGTGCACTGGTTGTGTCCTTGAGAAGTATCTACTACTGTGTAAGGTTTTGCTAACATATTATAATGTTACTGTTACTTAACTTTTAGCTTTTAAAAGTGCTAGTTCAGCTTAATAAAAATATGCTGTTACAAAGATTTGTAAAGCACCCCCAAGTATTGCTTTTTTTTGTTAACCATAAAGTCTTGCCTTGTTGTAATAAGTATAAAAGGTCACCTCACCCTTAGGGGGGGGCCATTTTGCCTTTTGCTGGCTTTATGGTCTTTGCTCGAGCAAATAAACAGCTGTCTTTCTTTACCCGCATTGTCTGTCAATCAAATTACAGCTAGACAACGAACCTTAGGGAGGTTTCTCCCACCACACCCATTAAGCATCAGTAGGCAGGGTGACTGGGCTGGCAGGGACCCTACAGCAGCGCCCGCAGTGGGCTTCCCAAGGTGCCCAGAGGGATGGAGCAGGAGGCAACAACGAGGAGGACCGAGGCTGCAGGCCTGTGCGCGCCTGCGAGATGCTGCTCCCTCCCCTGAGCTGCCGTCGTGTGAGGCTGGTGCCGCTCCATTCTCATGGAAACCCCAAGCTCAGGAATCTCTCTGGCTTGACCAAGATGCGGCTGCCCCTCAGGGTGCAGAGGCTGCGTGGGCTTGTGGGTGGGGGCCCTGGGCTCAGGGCTCTCTGTTGGGCCAGCACAGCCAGGACAGAAACCAGGTGTCCGGGCCCACAGGCCCCCCTGCCCTGCTTGGACCTGCAAGACCCCTTCACTGTGGTGGGACAGAAGCCCGGATTCCTGACCTCACTTTGTGCCCCCAGGCTGCCCTGCCCTGTGTGGGGGAGGCAGCCCGGTTGCCCCTGCAGGCGCTCGTCATGCTCCCAGCCAGAGGGAGAGACCATGGGATGCCCCCCTGCTCTGCCCCTGCAGCGCAGGGTCAGAGACAGGGCTACGGGGCTGTGCTCCAGGGCTCTCCACACTCCACCTGGACCGGGAGATGGAGGCTTGATCTAGTCCATACTATGACCACTCCAACCCTCTCCCTCTTGGCCCTGGGATAGCCCTATGCATCTCTGCAGGCACTGCTTGGCAGAAGGGGCCCATGGGCTTGTGCCCCCCACACTGTCTCCAGGGCCAGCTTCTCAGTATGGGCACAACGGTCTAGAGCCGAGGATGGAGCCAAGGAAACATTCTCTGGCACCTGGGTCCGTGCTACAAGGGGCGGGCTGGCCTGGGGGGCACGTGTTGGCCCTGGCCCAAGGTATGAGGCAGGAGCGCAGCGTCCTCATGGTCTAGACATGGGGCTCGGCCACCGGTGTCCTCCAGGAACTGGAGAAGACCCCAGATGCCCAAGCTTGGAGGTGCCTCGTGCCTGCTCTGGGCCCTGTGGCTCCGACACCCATGCGGGCAAGGCTCCTGGGTGTTGGGCTTGGCCATGCCCATTGCTGAGGGGCCCTAACTGTGCCCAGCCCTGCTGGCCTGTGTGTCCTGTAGCGGCTGAGCTCTGGGGTGCAAACTGTGTTTGCTGGGCAGCATGGGGGCAAATGAACCTCCGTTGCCACTCGGGTTGTTTTTGCTGGGCAGGTCAGGTCAGGGCCCTGGGGCCCGGTCCTGTGGGTCCCTTCGGCCTTGCTCCAGGCTAGGGTCTCCCCTGTGTGCCCAATACGCTGGGTGATGGGGCCCACACACTGGGCAGAAGTGGTGTGTGAGGCTGCTCCAGGGGGGCTGAGGCAAGTGAAGATACTGAGGTCTGTGGGCCCCTGCCCCAAGCATGGGAGCCTTCTCCTGTATCTGCGCTGGGCAAGGACCCAGGAGTCTGGGTGGGCAGCCGACGGGCTAAGGGACTTACTGCTAGACCTGGCTATGGGGCTCTGTGCTGCCCCCAGGCCTCTCTGCTCTGGGCTGCCAAAGGGGTCCAGGGGACAGAGCCTTGAGGAGCAGCCTGCAAGTGGCAGGGGCCAATTAGGGGCACCAGGGCACAGGGTTTGGGATGTACAAGCCCAGGGCCAGAGAGCCTGGAGGTTTATAGCCCAGCAGGGTGAATGTCAGCAGGGCCAGGGAGCCCAGGGGCCTGCAGCCCAGGAGGGTGAGTTTGGACAGGGCTGGAGAGCCCAGAGGTCCCAGTGGCCCAGGAGTGGGGCCAGGGCCCAGAGAGGGGCCAAAGGCTGAGGTGGACCGCATTCAGGGACCGGTGGGACCAGGAAAGCCCAGGAGTCTTGACTGGCCTCAAAGTGGGGTCAGGGTCCAAAGAGAGGATCCAAAGACCGGGTGGGGAGGTCACAGCTGGAGACCTAGAGTCCAAGGAGTCCACCCCCAGGCAGGGTGTGTGCCAGCGGGAGCAGTGTAAGGGTGGTCACAGCCACGGAATTAGCCCTTAAGGCAGATAGTGGAGACCCCTGAGCACAGGAGCACAGATTATGCTTGGGAGGCCCTGGGGCAGCCTCCCTTTATCTCAGAGATAAAATACCTGTGGGCAGACCAGTGAGGGGCCACTGCTCAATGAACAAAGTGGATAAGGACTGGGGGGGGCTCCAGAGGCACCATGGCCAGCCCTGGAGTTGGACCCCCGTACACCATCAAGGGAGAACGGGGCTGTGGGGTGACGCAGGGAAGCCAGGGGTGCCAGGGCTGTGGGGTGACCCTGTGTGGATCCCAGTCCAGCCAGGCCAAAAACTGAGCTCCGGAGGGGGCCTGGGCTCATGGCTCATCACTCCTCACCCTGCTGGGCTGGACCCCAGGGCCCTGCTGTAACAGCCCAGGCCCAAGGGAGACTCTGGGAGGGAACAGTCCCCTGCTTGTGACTGTTGCAGAGGGGGGGGGCAGCCCAGGGACCAGCTCCATTTGCATGGCAGTGGACCCCCATCCAGGGCAACGACAGGCAGGGGGCAATGACCAGTCCTCAGCATGGACTCACTGGTGCAGGATGGATTTGCTGGTCCTGGGCTCCAAAGGAACACCTGCATGTGCCCAGCCCCTGCTGAGCTGGGTGCCACGAATGCTCCCTGTGACGACAGCATGGCTGTGCCTGTGGCTCATGGGGACACCCAGCCAGGGTGAAGGGCAGCAGCACCGTAGGCCAGGCTCCGAGCCCAGCAGCTGGGTGCTGGCTCCCGCACTGGTGTGTGGCCAATGGAGGACCCTGGGGAAACTGGCAGTCAGGTTAGGTGCTCAGCACAGATCAACACCTCAGGCCCAGCCTGGCATGGTGGGTCCAGGAGAGCAGGTTGGTGGACCTAACCCAGTTGCCTAGCCCAGAGCAAGGCATCTTTACTGGGGCTGGGGTGCTCATCCCTGTGCCTGGCGCTGCACCGAAGGATGAGGCCCTCGTGGGTTCTCTCCCAGCGGGCCATGCTGCATTGGGCACAGGCACCCACAGCTCTTGGGGCAAGGTCCAGTCTGGGGTGGGCAAGGGGAAGTTCCTGAGCCCTGCCTGGGGCATCAGCTGGGGCTTGGCCTGAGCCCATGTCCTGCTGAGCAGCCAGCAAGGTCTGTTGCACAGGACAACCCAAGACATGGAGGAGAAGGGATCTGACATTCTAGCTGTGCACACGGGGCCGGAGCAGACCCAGGGGTCCTTTGACAGCCTCTGCCCCCTCCAAAGAAGTCAGTGTGTAAGGAGAAGTTTATGAAAGATCTCCACAGCACAATGCTGCCAGCAAGGACAGGAGAATCCCAGACAAGCCAAGCACACGAGAGAGATCTAGCTGCACAGACCTAGACGTGTCCATAGAAGCAGGACATGGGGATCTCAAAGCCCAGGGGTGCAATGTCCTGCAGCATGAAGAACAGCTGAGCGGTGAGCAGTGCATGCAGGAAACCCTACCCCGTCTCAGCAGTCCCATTCTCAGAAGTGCCGGACCCTCAAACACCCACACGCAGGAACCTCAACAAGCAGGTGCCGCGGCAGCACTGTGATGGGTCCGTGCCCTTTTTAGCCCACCCTCCCCTGGCCTCAGCCTCCAGAGTTACTGGACCCAAGTGGCGCAGACACCCCTGAAAGCCCCTTCCCTTCCCTTCCCTTCCCTTCCCTTCCCTTCCCTGTCATGTCATATCATAAACCACTGACCAAATGGCTTGGACCTGATCCAGCCTTTCCCAGGCTTCTCAGCTCCCATCTTCCACCCAGCTCCCCTCGTACTTCTCCTCCTGGCCTAACACATGCTCATGTGGCCTGACTCTGTGAACGCAAGGAAAGGGTTTCAGATGCCCACGGGCCACAATGCTGGGGGTGCTGGGGTGTGAGCGGGTGCTGGGAGCACAGGCCCTCCTGCTTCTAACTCGGAGCAGGTCCCCCCTGTGCTGGGACCTCTGCATCAGTCTTCCTCCTCTTCCAGCTCCTCAGTGTCTCACTGGCCCCAGGCTATTCGTTTCCTGCAGGAAGCTGGTGATGGCTGCTGCCTCCTCATCGCTTCCCTCTTCAGTCCAGGATCTGAGGAGTGGGCTGAAGCAGCATAGAGGGCCAAGGCCAGCCCAGCACGGAGCTCCCTGCTGCCTGGGTCCTGTGCTAGGGCCTCCTCGAAGCACTGCCTGGCCTGCTCCCCGTGGTGAAGTCTGACAGCCAGGAGAGACCAGACTTTCTGGGCAGAGATCTCAGCAGCCAGAGCCATGCTCACAGGGGCTAGGGGGGCTGCCTGTGTGCGCTCCAGGTAG